CTTCGTCAGGGTCTGTTTCTTTTTGCTAAAAATGTGGCTAGTGTGTATTGTCTGTTTAGGATTTAAGGCATTCCAGTTTATGTTGTGTTTGTGTGTGTGTCCCAGTGTGTGAGATATTGCTGTTTGATCTGTGCTGTGATGTGGTTGAGTCTGAGTTGTGGTGCTCTAGCAGTGCTGTCCTGAGGCTGGCTGGTGTCAGTGTGGCTCAGGTCAGTGAGCCTCAGGACCAGCTGGCTCAGAGGGCTCTTTGTTGGGCTCAGCTCTTGGCTCAGCAGGGCCTTGTGGTGGAAGGAATTTTGGTCGCTGTTTTTTAGATGTGACCAATCCTCTTCCCTCTCACCCCCTTCTCTCTCCCCTCCCCATCGCCCTGCTGCCTCTGGTGCCAGTGCAGTGTGCTGTGCCCAGCGAGCCCTTTGTTCCTGGGTGCTGGCTGCGCTCTTGGCATGTCGCGGGCTGAATCATCCAAACATACAACAAAGCACAGCCCTGGCTGTCCTGCTGAGGGCAGACAATGCTCCCCCAGGTCATCTGACCACCGGGCCCATTGAGCTTTAATCTGCCTCAATCCGGGTGTGATGGTGGGGGCAGTCAGGTAGGGAGGTTTCTGGCACAGCTCTCCTGCCCAGGGGTATAAAGGGGCTGTGTTCACTGTCCGCACTGCACTGGCTCACTCAAGTACTGGTAAGGGTATCGCTGTCTCCTCTCTCCATGTCTCCCTGTCTCTCGTCTCTGCTCGCTGTCTCCTCTCTCCCTGTCTCCTGTCTCATATCTTCTGCTTACTGTAGTCTCGTTGCTTCTCAATCAGTTGCTTTGTTAGGTGTACAGTAGAAACTCTCCAGGTGTCAGTGTGTACAGTAGATACTCTCCAGGTGTCAGTGTGTACAGTATATAGACTCCAGGTGTCAGTGTGAACAGTAGATACTCTCCAGGTGTGCAGTGTGTACAGTATATAGACTCCAGGTGTCAATGTGTAAGCTAGATACACTCCAGGTGTCAGTGTGTACAGTAGATACTCTCCAGGTGTCAGTGTGTACAGTATACTGTATAGAATCCAGGTGTCAGTGTGTACACTAGATACACTCCAGGTGTCAGTGTATACAGTAGATACTTTCCAGGTGTGCAGTGTGTACAGTATATAGAATCCAGGTGTACAGCATGTACAGTAGATACTTTCCAGGTGTCAGTGTATACAGTAGATACTTTCCAGGTGT